TAAGTATGTCTATTGATGCGCACATTTGTACACATGCGTGTGTCTTTTTATGTGAGATATAGTGAGCCCATTTCATTATTCCCCAGTGTTTACTGACAGATACTGGACAGGCCTCAGTGAGCAGCTCTGGCTTCATTATCCCACGCTGCTATTGGTAGACACAGATCACAGGACTGGCATGGCCAACACACACAAACAGCAGCAACCCACAGGGATATTTAGGAGGTTGTGACGACAGGGAGTTTTTTTTATTTGAGAATTTTGAAGCCTGACTTTATGCCTGCCTCGATCTTGAAATGAATAAAACAAAACTCTCACATTTGTTTCTCTCACTCATAAAGTTAGTGTTGGAGGATGCCTAAATGAGCACACAGTCAGACTGAATCTAACTGTTTTTCACTGTTAAAAGACACAGTGATCATGAAGTAACAGACAAAACAAAGTGAGATCATGAGCAGTGTGAATGATAGTAGCTGTCTCTTTACAGACAGATAGGGTCACTGTAAGCATCTTACTACAAAAAGTCTCAAGTTTAAGTATTCTAATTGGTTAATTTGTATTATTTTGACTTTGGTTCAGGGCCCTGGTCTAATGGCAGCTACATTCACAACATGCAGACACACTGATTCACTCACCCTGTCCTCTTCCTCTCTGAGGTCTGGCATGGTGCTGATACACAAGCTGACGACAGTAACCACAACCATGACCACCGACATGCAGGCAAAGATCTTCCCTGGTAAGCCAGATTGAGGATTCTCCACCATATCTCTCAGCCAGTTCATCACCTTTCGGTACCTTGTCTCCTCCACCGGCTCACGCTGCATGGCGTTTCTCTGCCTGCACTCCTCCTCACGCCGCTCCAACTCATGCACCTCCTCGATGCGTGTGTACATCTTCCTCTTACAGCAGCGCTCCATGTATGCCATTTCCACTCCCCAGTAGGTCAGCTCATCGTGCAGGGAGAGGACGCACATCTCCCGCAGCAGGCGCAGCTTCCCTGCAGCCAAGAAGTTGAGGATGACACGGAAGGCAGATGGTGAGCGGTCGAAGAAGAACTCCTTGCGGGCTTCATCATAGTCGTCACAAACACTGGCGATGTCCTCAGGTGACTGGCAGCCACACAGGCGGCCAAGTCGTGTGAGGGGGAATTGCTCCAGGGTGCTCCAGGGGAAGGTGTAGCGGTTTCCCCCAACGTTGATTACTGCCAGCAGGGCGTGGTCGACAGACAAAAGGTCCTCTGGCCGACGGATGAACTGAGCCCTCTGGTAGTGCACACCCTGGGAAAAATATAACATAAGGCTTCAATGCTTTAACAGCTGCATCTGAAAGAAGTACAATTGTCTACAACTTGATCACAGTGACAATCTTATTCATACCTTGATGGTTTCGGTCTCCGGGATCTCTGTGAAGATGCGATCAAGACTGCTGTCATCGCTGACGGACAGATTGCTGAAGTCATGGTTGGCGTTGCTGATGATGGGCATTGCAGCATCTGGAAAACACGCTGCTCCGGACTGGGCAGCTCAGACCAGGTAATGAAAACAGAAGAAGTATACGGATTGCACCAAGCTTAATTTTTCAGTCTCAGCACACAGCAGTGTATTCTGTGCCGTAGCCTCCAACAACTTAAGTTAAAATCTGCACATGAGAAAAGCTGTCCTGCCACTGCCCAGGTCCTGTAGACAAGCTGAGCATCAAAACGGCTGTAGCTTTCGGTCTTTTTGGTCTCAGAACCCCTCATAACAAGGAGGTTTTTTTTTTCTCAGTGACAGATGAGCTATGGCTTTGGCTTCCAACCAACAGAGCAAAAACCCAGAAATGAGAGGAATGAGGACTGTCAGGAAACCTGTTGTCACATTTGGATGTGGGTGAGTTTTGACATTGCTGTCAGAGGTCCACAACACACTCAGTTGGCGTATCAGGATTCAGCATCAGATCAGTAAGTAATCCCAGTCTGAAGCGAGAGTCTGGAAAATGAAAGCCTGAATAGAGAGTGAGTTAGGATTGATCAGTGACTGATAGCTGCAGAGGATGAGCTGGATGAGTCAAGGAGCTGAATGTGTAGCACTGAGGTGTCCAGGGACTGAGGGGGATCCTCTGTGTCGCCGCAGCAGGATTAGGGAGGGCCTAGACATGTGGCATCACGCAGGCACTGACAGAGAGAGAGAGAGAGATATGTCAGAATGGAACTAGAAGGAAATGCAATAAGACAGGTGTCACAATATGGAGCAAGAATGGGCAAATAACAGTAAAGAGATGGTATTTGAGACAGAGATGGGTGAGAAAGAGACAAAGAGAGCACACCTCCATGAGACTGCAGTGCTGTAGGCTCCACCCCCCTCTTTCACTTCCTTTCAGTGAGAAACAAGACCGACAGACACATCAGCTCTGCTGCTATAAATGGCCAGTCACTGTGGTCAGCGCACATGAACCGAGCGCAAAGGAATTTACACTCAAATCAACATCCAATGAGGACGGCCTGCCTGATTTACTTAGTACGGGTGTTAGAAATATCATGGAATTAACAGTAGAAAAGAACATTCAGGTCGGTGGTATTTTTCACACTCAGAGTGAGTTATTGGCTGTTGTAGATGGGCAGCAATCCTAGCAACAGACACTGAAACAAAGGGTCCAAAATGTTTTTCTTGGCATTACAATTGCCCTGAAACTTATTGGCACTGTTAGTGGTTACAGTTGCCCAGAATGGTTTGCCGTGTATCAAAGCTTTAAGTACTTATGGCTTATTTCAAATTGGGTCCTATTATATTTGTCATATGTTCACTGCGAAAAACGTACAGTTTGTCTTTTTTCTTTTCCCGCCGCAGAGTTATTTAATTATTACCATGCCTTGGTCCTTGAAGACCCGCTACCAGCAAACAGTAGAGGTGGACGTCTACTCGTCTTATGGTCTTTTTCACAGCCAACATTTAGATTTTTTTTTTGGCTCTTACTGTTAAAAGCAGAGGTTTCATTATTATTCTTAATAAAGGCTGCATTCCTGTTAGCCATCCTTAATGCTGTTAATTACAGCTGTGATTTTCCTGTTATGACATGTCAAAATGTATAAAGTGAAAATGGGCTATTACTAGGGTAATTTAATATTCTTCTTCTTCGTCTTCTTCTTCTTTGTCTTCTTCTTCAATCTTATTAAAAATTGAATAATTCTACATTTTTGAAGGTGTGTTTTGATGTATAAGTTAGACACATTTTACCAGTGACAGATAGGAGCACATTCAAGAGTTTAGAGATAAAAGCCGCTCTTTAAATGCATTGGGTGAGAATGTTTTAAGTATTGAATTGTACGGTGGCAAATGATGAAAGAATGAGTCTCAGATTGAAACAGCTGGAATTATCCTTTGAGACCCATTGTTCTGTTGCTACATGTATCCAGCTACTCAGAGTAAAGCTGACTTAGATTTGGGTGGTTGCCCTGAACTTTTCTCCTGCCAGCTTCTGTTGTGAAGATGAAGCTATAATAGATTTTCTACACATGCCAAAGCAATTTGGAAAAGCCAGAATCTTTAAGGTCAATTCCAGACTTTTCTACCCATTTCTAACCACACAGTAAGGTACAGATTTCCCTGCACACATACATCACTCTTCTGTCACTGTGACTAGCCCTGACTCACCACCCTGATGGTGAGCACAGTGTGGTGTCCTGTAAGACTCATGCAGACCTACAGTCTAACAGGGCTGTGGGTTTGTCATATTCTCCAGACAGCCTATTTAAATTAAGAATGCCATCAGCAGAATTAAGATTATTCTGCTCAGTGTATCCTTCTACAATAACCACAGGCTTACTGAATGTGTGACTGGACAGCGCAGACAATTTGAAGCATTGTACCGCACCAACATGCGTCACTAATTCAGATCCAGGAGGACAGGCTCCTGTACTAGAGGAACCAATAAATCACTTCTGTCACTATGCTGGTGTTTCATTTCCACCTCACAGAGGGAGGAGAGCATGATAAACTATTTATTAATCGATTTGTATTCCCTGTGGATGTGGCTGCTTTTTCTTAATGGAAAGTTAATTGAAGGAGGTGTTTTTAGCAGCACACTGTCACCACTGAGCACCACTTTGCTCGACCTCCTTTGGTTCTCCACTGGACACAAATGACAGGCAGGGGAGGAAGGACATCCGAGGAAGTGGAAAGTAAACTCGGCTTTTTATTAGGTGTTTAATTACATGTGAAGGTGGACATTTTTGCAAGACGAATTGACTGTAAAGATCTACAAAGTGCTATTGAACTAAATCAAACTTATATGAAAGTTGGTGTATGCACAAAAATCAATAAATGTGTATATATATATATATATATAGCCTACTTTTTAAAATACACTTTATGTGTTTATATTGACGTAGACTTTTTCCATGATGGGGTTATCCTGTAATCAGCATGCAGTCAGACAGCTTATATTATATTTATGGGAAGTCCACAGTGACTGCACTTGCCAGGAGCTGGTGGAGGGACCTGCGTCTCATATGGATCGAGTTGCCGCTCTCTCTCGTCTCGTCTCCTCTCTCTCTCTCTCTCTCTCTCTCTCTCCTCTCTCTTCTCTCTCTCTCTCTTCTGTGCTCCCCCACCAACTTGCAAAACCGTGCACAGCAACACCAGGTACACCCTCAGCACACCACCAAGGGCTAACCGAACTATTTTGCATCCTAATCAAGCATATACCTTTAATTAAGCTTGGTTAAATTGGGCGATTAATTAAGATCTTATAACCAAATCGTGTTTAGTGGACTTCATGGAGAGAAAAACAAATAATGGGACAAAGTCAAATGTTGTTCAGAGGGCTGTGTATTTCCTATATTATATATATACATTTGATTTTAAAATGGCAACAATTCTGCTTTCAGATTTTTAGAAACGGCTACTAAATCTACTGACAATTTGTCTCATCCTGCATGTTGCAGTGTTGATAAGACAGCAGCATTCCTCATTTTAGGTAAAGTGACAGTATTATAACTTTAGACAAATATGAGCTTCAAACACAAGCCCCCGCAGGTATCAGTGTAACTTATGAAGTGCAGCTTACCACCCTGAGCCCCGAACTCAGACGGCCAAAACAGCTCGGTATGAAATCCCTTTGTCGCCTCGTAGTCCCTGCGATCATTCAACACCAAATCAGGGTGTCAACGAGCATTCCCAAACACCGTTACAAAGACAGGAATACCTCTCCAGCGTCCGCATCATCCAGGCCGGTGCAAGGCGCGCAGAGAGTCTGAACATACCAGAGATGGAAGCAGGTAAAGGTTTGGTGCGCTGAAAGTGTCCCGTTACAGCTCGGTTAGTGGTGCTGCAGGAGGAGGAGGAGGAGG